CCTCGGCGGGCCCCGCCCTGCGCCTGCCGAGCCCCGCCTGGGCCCTGCTGTTTCCCTGCCCGCTGTCCCGCGCCGCGCGTGAAACCTCCCGGCTCCGATTTCGTGTTGTGTGGAGCGGGCTCTTTCCGCCCCCGCCACCTCCCACAGGCAGCCATGTCAGGGGGGCGAGGGGCTTGCGCTGGTGAACTAGCGAGGGTGGAAGGAGGGTTTACCATTCAGGCAGCTAGCCCTGTTGCTCCCGTTCCGCAGAACACAGAGACCGCTGTCCCGCGCCGCGCGTGAAACCTCCCGGCTCCGATTTCGTGTTGTGTGGAGCGGGCTCTTTCCGCCCCCGCCACCTCCCACAGGCAGCCATGTCAGGGGGGCGAGGGGCTTGCGCTGGTGAACTAGCGAGGGTGGAAGGAGGGTTTACCATTCAGGCAGCTAGCCCTGTTGCTCCCGTTCCGCAGAACACAGAGAAATCTTGTGGCACCTTAAATGTATGAGGGCAGGGGTCTCAAATTCAGTTGGCTGTAGGACCAGTCCTTAAACGCTCGTAGTGGGCCAGTAGGCCCCCTTCTCTGGCAGGGCGGGGATCTCATGCATTCTCTTTCTTCCTTTCATTCTCTTTCTTCTACAGTCCCCCAATGTACCTCTGCCTTTTAAATGGAGTAAGAGTCGGGTGGCTCTTACTCTATTTAAAAGGCAGAGCTGCAGCAGGGCTAACCTTGTTGCGGCTCTGCAGTTTCCCCCCTTAATGACTAATCAAGTAGTCAATGGAAATTCCATCAACTACTCAATTAGCTGATAAAAGGCAATTTAACATTCCTAGTCCAAAGCAGAAACATATAAAGGGATCTCATTCAAGATCTACAAGTTTGATTATGAACTACATTATTAACAAGTTGCAAGCTATCAACTGTTTAAAAAATTGCAATGTGCACTGGCTGTTTTAAGACTCTTTTCACTTGTGAAGAGAATAAATGCAACCTATCTTTTCCTAGGAATTAAAATGTCATCTTGGGTTAAAGTTAACAGGAGTCAAGTTCAGAAACCTGTTGCAGATAAAAGGTAAAGTAAAATAAATATAAATACTTCAACAATTGTTTCTACCTATGCTTTCAGAAAAATTAACACTTACTTTCATACAACAGACTGAAAGTTGTGGTAATTTGTCACAGTTCTTAAAATTCAGTCACTTTAAAGGGTTGAATGTCTTTAACAAAACAAATGTACATATAAAGAATATATAAAAAAAACCTAGAAACAGTCACACCCAAATCTATTTACTGTAAGTCCATGAATTATGCTCTTTTAGGCCTCCCTAGTCCTGGGAAGACTTCAGGATATTGACTTAATGCAGTGAGTTGTTCCATTGAATAGAGTGGGCCTACTTGTGTTAAGTTAATAATATGCTTTAAATTGGAGCCTACCTTTAAAATGAATCAGTTATATTCTGTTTCTTTAATCTAGAAAATGAAATAACATTATTTTAAATGCTTAGCTAACATTTGGTATCTTCTGGAAAATTGTTATTTTTATGTGCAGTATATGTTTTGAACAATAGATTGAAAGGAACTTTTATAGTCAGTATTAGAACTAAGGATGTTAAGTATTGTGTAATTGACTAATCAAGTAATCAATGCATTTTTGCATTGACTATTTGATTAGTTTATAGGGCAGCGCTGCTGCTTTGAAATGCCATGAGGAGCTTGATGCCGGGCTCCGCATGTCATTTCAAAGGGGCAGCACTGCACAGAGCCCGGGATCAGCTAGGGAGTCTCCAGTTGACCCTGCTTCAAGCAGTGCTGCTGCCTTGAAATGCTGCCCATGGCATTCAAAGTGGCAGCACCACACAGAGAAGCTGACCCTGGGCTGCCACTTTGAAGTACCCCTTTTTTGTCCGTTTCTCCCCTCTCCCCCCCCCCCCCCCCCCCCACCTTGCTGCCTCTTTCTGATAGAGGCAGCAAGTTGGGGAAGAGCCCGGGGGAAGCAACTAGTCTACTATCCTGTCAACTATCAGATAAGCATTTGCTTATTGGATAGTCGACTAGTCCATAATGTCCCTAATTAGAACCACAATTTGTAAAAATTTTGAAATGGATATTGTACGTTCTTATTAGCATCATTTCTGTAATTTACAGAGGAATAAGGAATTACTCTATCTGGTTGTATTGGTAGTACTGTACAATTTGAACATACTCGGAGGACACTTACTGGGGTTCTGAAAGTGGAATAGTTGGCCTAAATGTTGTAAATTGCAGGATCAAGACTTTAATGAACATAATTTTTCATATATATCAGCAAGGATTAGTCTATGACAAATGGTTTAGTCAAATTTCTTATTTTGTTTTTCAAAGGGGCAGATGATTGTAAAAGGAATATTTTGTGCTTGCATAACAGAAAGCTTCCTTGCACTAAAATTGATCAGAAATCCCATCCACAAGGATAAATTTGACATTTTAGTGGATGGTCAGTTTATGACTCAAAGAATTTCATACACTTTTCTGTAATTATTGTTAAACATTTCAAAGTAATAGGCATAATAAGTCCGAGCTTAACTGATAAACTGAAAGTAGGGAGCCAGCTTCTGTTGAGGAGCCTAGTCTTCCAACGATTGAGAAGGAATAATTCACAGCTTTTTTTTTTTTTTTTTAGAGGAACTACTGTGCCTAATTACCAGCTAATTCCTGAAAGGTTTTGGCCTTCCATTTATTTTCAATGTGGAATACTGTTCAAGAAAAGGTTAAGGGGGTGGGGAAGGTATAGAGGTTCCTTTACTTTGTTCAAGTGTTGTAATTGGGGTTAAGGTGTCCAATAAAGGACTAAAATATAACTAAATTACTAATTGTGTAAATTAAAAGTAGATTAAAATAGAAAAGATGGATTATCTTTAAAATATCTTTTGGAAAAACTTATCCAGGGTAACACACACATCAAAGCATTACCACATCAAAAGTAGAGATTGAAAAAAATCATATTGTCTGCTCACTAGTGGGCAGCCTTCTCTGCATGAGGATGCCTAGCTATCAATTCTTTGCAGAATTAAGTCTTAATTTAAAAAAAAAAAAAAAAAAAAAAAAGGCTATTTCTAGCCAGTTCTGTTCTGAAAATAACCTACTGCATAGAAGCCACTATGGTGGCGGAGTTTTCCTGAGTCTGCACTTCCTCTGAGCTTTGTCCACTAGCAATGTAAAATTAACAAGATGAATCGTTCCGTATGGGCAGCAATGAAATAGTTGTATTAGTTTTTGTCTGCTGGCATTCAGCATAATCATCATCAGCATTAATCGAATGCTAGAGTTTTTCACAGACTTTCCCCTGCCTGTCCCTCCTCCCCCCCGCCACCCATTAAAGAACTGGAAAACTTTCCGTATTTTCCTTACTCTTGTGGTATCCAGAGAGCATCTTTTCCTTTCAAGTAATTAGAAGTTGGCGAAGCTTCAAATGTATCAGATCGCAAGTAGCCAGATGGTGATATGAAAGCTAGAGTCCCGTGCATGAATTCTAGCACTGCACTTCCATTACCTATGTTAGGAGAGTGTTGTTTACAACAGATTTTTCCTAGAGCTCATTGATGTGAAGGCTCTCTACCTACCTTTTATATCTGTCATTGACTATTAGGTTTACTTCTGCTAGTAGATATTTTTAATAATTTTGTCAATTTTCTGACCCTTTGGGATACTCAAAGGCTTGGCCTATATCAAGTAACTATTTTATAGCAATGATAATTGACCCAGGATGTCCTGAGTCAAAACCTTTTTTTTAATCTTCAGATGTAATGTTAAACTCCCAGGATATTTCAAAATGCGTTTTTTTTTTTTAACTTAAGCAGTTAAATAGAAGTCATAAAATCAGTAGAATTGAAGTAGTTTATGTTCTCCTGTCAAATGCAATTCATTCAAGAATAGTCCAGGTAAATGAAATAAAACTAAACCGCTCTCATCAGTATACTATCATTGTAGCTTGAAGAATCTGTTTCTTGGAAGTAATACATCTGTCGGTATAATCCTAGATGTACCTTCTGCTGTCGTGTGTGAAGCCTTATAATGAACAGCCTAAATAGAAAGGCTTAGAGTAAATTTTGATTGCTCGGTAATTAAATTAATAAAATATCTGAAGACCTCCTGCATTTTCAGCACAGAATTAGATATGAACTATCTTTTCTTTGTTGTGCACAGAGGAAAAAGCTTCCCTGATTGTGTACCAATCTGCTGGTATCTCTTACAAAATATCATAGTGGTACTTGGAGCATAATCCAAGAGCATCTGATAGCAGTGACTGTAGAAATAATTAGGATAGCTAACTTGTTCATTAGTTTCCCCCTGTTCTGGTCATCTTATTATTTCTCTGCACAATCCACTCTCCTGTTGCACCATGTCACTTTTAAGATCTACTGTAAAATTTTCAAGCTGTTAAAGAAGTTGAGTAGGTCTTCTCTCAGTTCGACTTTTTCATAAATCCTTTATTTATTACTGCAGCTACTTCATCCAGAAATTCAGGAGGATTAAGATTATCCTAATGTTGGTTCCATTTCACAAGGGTAATTTCTTACTCCATTTCTAATTCTTTTCTGAGTGGATTTCTAAATTTCATATTTACCAAGCAATTACCTTTTTATTTCTTTCCAAACTTTCATTTCCTTAAAGAAAATTGTTAATACACAGATCCATTGATGTCTTTTGGTAAGGAGATCAGAATGTATGACTTCTTATTTTGGCCCACAATTATTCTTGCCAGGTGAACAGAAACATGCATTATAAAACCTTTTGAAGTTCGTCATGGAAAGGTCAGGTTTACCAACTAACTGCATCTTGAAAAAGGGAAGTCTTTTGTTAGCCAGTAGCAGAGCAACCTACTGAAACATTTTGTGCGTATGTTGTATAAATACATATAAAATAATTAATTTATACATCTCTTGATACTATATTAGAAATGGCAATTTTCTGAACAATATAATGCCTTGCTATCTGGCTCATAATTGCTGTGTAGCTCATGGCCTGAGGGATAAAATACAGTTTAGTGGTTGGATTTCATTTTATCAGTATCACTAATTCTCTTTTCTTTGCTCTTTTTCTACAATTGAGGTGAGATAAGGTTTGCATATGCCTTTGGGTATGTGGGGCCTATAAGAGATCTACAAGGAACACGCCTATTCCAAAAATCAGATTCCTTTACACACAACATAATTTACATTTTTTTCTCTAGTTTCTTTCACTCTTTAAAACATTTTGTGATAATCTAAAGATGAGATGCATAAGGTCTATGCAGCAGAAAACACTCAGAACATTTTACTAATCTTGATTTAACTGCTGTGTTTTTTTTTTTTTTTTAAACGATTTGTCTTCAATATAACTTAATCCAAGCTCTTTTCATTTTGGGTCCAGGCATAGACCCGGATGGATTCCACGCCTTCTGGAGTAAGTAATATGTAACAGATTTATTGAGGTTTTTAAATGGATTATAATAAGGTGAACTTTTTCTTCATCCAGTTTTGTGTAAAGACACTATTGTGTGTTCTATTTGTAAGTGTACACTTGTTTTCCCTTCTAGATGTCTTCATAAGTTAGACTTCTATCAAAGTAAAAAAGGCTCCTTTACAAAATGTTAGAGGGGACAATCTTGCAGTTTTTATTCACTTTTTCCTTAATATTCTTTTAGTACTAGTGTAAGTCAGCTCTTAACCAATCTTCAGGTTTTTACAATGTGCATTTGATTTTTTTCCCCAGTTTCTTCTATTATCATTTTACCAAGTAGTGACTCCCTAGCCTCTTATCTCCCACTTTATTTCCTTTTCAGTCATATTCTGTTTCATACTACTAACGGAGTGATTTAAGGTTTTTGCCAATTTCTCCCTGTTCAGAGATGCACATTGATACTTCTAATAATCTTTCCAGGATGACTGTTTTTAAGAGGTTCTAAAATGTGAACTCTGACCTTACAGTTTCACTTTTCTTTTTTCTTTTTTTTAAACGGGCTTTCTCCAGTTTTCTTATAATGGATGAAAATGTATAGCAGTTACTAAGTTTGTGTTTTCTGGAACAATATTTTATTTACAATTATCCACTTTAGATTCCTGACTTTGATCCGATTATATCCTCAAAATAAGACTCTTGGAGAATCCAAATTCTTACAAGCTAGATTGAAAAACTTTGTTTTTCAAACTAAACGTTCTTCTAATCTTTTGGATATGAAAATGTCCTCTTCTCATTCTTTTCAGAAGAATTTTTGGACTAGTATTAGGACCATCACTTTTCTTTATCCAGTCATCTTTTAATCCTTGTCTCTTTCTTGCTATCTCAGCAGCAGCCATGGAAAAGCACTGATAGCAGTGATGCTGCCTACAAGTACAACAGACTAGTATTGCAGGATTCCCATTAGTGTCATATGGCTGACAGCTCCCCAGATGTTAGCACCTCTGTACTTGAGCAATGTGGTTATCTGTATTACTTGCTCCGGTAACCATTTGTCTTGTGGTAAATTGGCCCTGCCTCATCAAGATACATGTGGTGCAACTAAGCCTTAGGCACATCTAGCTTATGTTTAATTAGTTCCTGAATAGTTTTTTAATGTAGGATTTCCAACACGGTATTATATTCACCATGAATAGCTAACAATTCCATTTTTCAGGTGATAAAATATTTGTAACTTTGACAGCATCGTTAAACTTGCAAATAACTTAAGTCAGCTACAATGTTTATTTCAAATGAAGCTGGGTCTCCGCTGGTTTTGCAGGATTTCTGATCCCTTGACAAGAGACTTTGTATTAACTTCGCTGTTTCTCCTATTGGTTAGTTAGGATCCAAATATTATGCTGCTTTTTTTGTGGCTACTGATTTTGCTTTTAGGCATCCTAAATCGGTCTGCATTCCCATTTAAAGCATCTTTCTTTTGATTTGTTCATGCTGAGCCATCTGCTTTTTCCTTTTATTCTGTGGACTTCATATTTGGCACTGTCTTCCTGAAATACAACTGTACCAAAGCCTGAGTAATTCTTATTAACTCAGGTCTGTTATTGACTTGCATATCCCATACTAGCTTTCTCTTATTCACCTCAGAGTAAGAACATTTTCCCAAGTAACTCTTGTGATCTTTTGTGTATATTTTGTCCTTTCTATATGTCAAATCCTATCGTGCTCTTTCTGAAGTAGAACAAAGATGGAATTTAGAGATCAAGTTATATTAGGATATCTAGTCAATCTTTTTGCTAGTGCAGAAAAATTTCATTTGTCTGACTAATATAATTATGAAATAGATAAACTAAACTCATTCTCTGTCTTTAATTTGTATGTAAATTTATGATGTCTCTACTCCAAGGCCGCTAAAACCGTGTGTTTGTGTAAATATACGCATTAGGTTGTCTCACTTTTCTCCCACCCTTTTTGTGTTGCTTGTTTTAGATTGCTGAGCTCTTTGAATTAGGAAGCTTGTCTAACAGTGTGTACAGCACATAGCATTCTGGAACCTTCATCCTCATTGGGGCTTCTGGTTACCACCATAATACAAATATTAGAGTAAGAAAGTGAAGCACACCCCTGTGACCTTTGTGTAAATAAATTTGGATTTGTTAGCATAGGCGTGTCTCACAGAACAAAATGAACCTGTAGATAGGACTGGATTCTTGTAGAAGATCAAATATTTAAAATGATGGGCAAACTGATGTTTACTACCATTCAGAAGTTTCTTGCTTAAATTATTTATCTACTTCTTGTTGTGGGCAACAAATCAGTGAAGTATTAACAGCAAGATTCAAAATCAGTTGTGTTAATTGGTGCTTAACAGCATGTGCTTCAGACTCTAGACTGGGGGTGGGCAAAAAGCAACCCATCATACATTTGGATCTGTCCTGTCGGACACCTCGGGGCCACCAATGTTCGGTCTCTGCGCAGCGCATGCCTCTTGGGGGGAGGAGGGGAAGGGAAGAGAGCCTCCACACACTGCCACTGCTCCCATAATCCTTGCAGCTCCCATTGGCTGGAAACAGACAAATGGGAACTGCCTGAGTCATGTTTGCAGGGACAGGCAGCTCACAGCCCCTCCCCCCCCAAGGGTGTGTCTAGACTACATGCCTCCTTCGACGGAGGCATGTAGATTAGCCAGATCGGAAGAGGGAAATGAAGCCGCGATTAAAATAATCGCGGCTTCATTTAAATTTAAATGGCTGCCCCGATCTGCCGATCAGCTGTTTGTCGGCAGATGGGGGGAGTCTGGACGCGATGCCCCGACAAAGAAGCCTTTCTTCATCGACACAGGTAAGCCTCGTGAAACCAGGCTTACCTGTGCCGATGAAGAAAGGCTTCTTTGTCGGCGCATCGCGTCCAGACTGCCCCGATCTGCCGACAAACAGCTGATCGGCAGATCGGGGCAGCCATTTAAATTTAAATGAAGCCGCGATTATTTTAATCGCGGCTTCATTTCCCCCTTCCGATCTGGCTAATCTACATGCCTCCGTCGAAGGAGGCATGTAGTCTAGACACAGCCCCAACAGTGCACGCTGCACAGAGATGCACCCACTGGCCCCAGTAGTTGGCCACTTGGAGCAACATGTGGAGATGTGGCAGGCAGGGAGCCCGCCTGAGTGTTCTACTACAATAAGCACCTACCATCCAGAGCCTGAATCTGGCACCCCATTCCCTCTCTCAACCCGCACCCCATTAAACTCCTGCATCCTTGCCCCTGGTCACAATCCAAACCCTCTGTACCCCCTCCTGCACTTCTGACCCTGGTCACAACTCCCTCCCAGATCCCTCACTCTGCATCCAACCTCCGTCCCAGGCGCATACTCTGTCCATTAATAGGCTAGAAAAGTGTAACCCTTGACCACTTAGCACATTCTTGGAGTGGCTTCCCATCAAAAATTGTCTACTCCTGTTCTAAACTCGCTAGCAACTATGGGTTCACGGAAAACTGTTGGATCATCCAAAGCTTCAGATAGAGGTTATGTAAACAGAATGTAAATAGTGCTTACCTTAAATGTCTCATCAGTGATTGCAAAATTTCATGCCAATTCATGTGACATCAGCATTTCATTAAAAAGAATAAAACATTAGCAGGAGCTGGCTGAAAATGAAACATAGCAACCTTATATATTACAAAGTATTTATCTTATACCGGGCCTTCTCTTCAAGCCATGGTTGGGATTTCTCCTGCTCCTACATAAATGCTAGCTCTTGAGAGAGTGCATGTATAAATAGCAGTGCAGCTGCATCAGCACTGATAGTTGTGGAAGCATAACTGAGCTGGCTTAAGGTAGCACACACTCAGCATGGCTCAGCCATGCCTCCATGGTCACTACCAATGTTACTGTGGCTGGGCTTTTGTTTATATCTGAGCTATCTTGAGAGCTAAGGTAAGTATGCAAAAGGAGCAGAGGAATTGCACCCCTAGCTTGTAGTGTAATCCTAGCTCAATGTTGGCAAAACGTTATAAGGAAATATGAAAATATCACTTGCTTACAGGAACCTAAGATTTGTGGAGGAAAAATTTTGGAGCGGTTTTGTCTTTTCTTTGACTTAAAGGAAAGTGTTTGTCCCCATAATATAGTACTGCAGCCCTGGCATTATGCAGATTCTTCTATAATGTCATTTGTTTTAAAACCAAAACTAATAGGAATTTGGAGAGTGTACTACGTATTTTTAGAGTACCAGTATATAAAACTTAAAGCTTTTTATTTGTAGCCATGTAAAAGCTCTTTTGACAGAACATACCTATTCTTATATTTCTTGCCTTTTAGTATAAATCCTTACAGACCCTACCAGAAAAGTCCGTATTCTCCCCAAGATGGTTATTCAAAGGACTTTGAAGACCTGAATAGGTAAGACACACTTTTCAATAAGATAACTTCATAAATTATTTAAAGACTTTGTGAATTACTCATGTTTTTGTGGGAAGATACTTATGTCTATAAACAAGCTCACTTGTGTAATAATTATTTTGTCCCTTTTTACATAACTAGGAATTTAACAGAAGTGTGTGTGTGTGTGTGTGTGTGTGTGTGTGTGTGTGTGTGTGTGTTAAACCCCTAGTTCTGTGGTCACCAATCAGTTGATTGCGAGATGTTTGGGGCCCCTCCCCCTCTGATTTCCCCCCCACCTCCAAGAAGCCCCACTACCTACCTCCAGCGACAATGGAGGTAGCGCCAGCTTCCTGCAGGGTGGACGGAAATCCAGCAGCTGCGCGCCACTTCCAGGGGTTCCGGAAGTGTGCTGCCTGCTCCCCCTCCCCCAGGTCTGTGGTGTGCCAGGAACTTGCGGAGGGATGGCGGGGGGAAGGCTGCAGAGGAGGTGTGTGCTGGGGCTTTCCCTCCTCTGTGAGGGGGGAGAGGGAGTTGCCCAGCAGGAGGCGGGTGTGGGGGACTCCCTTCCCCCCCCCCCCCCCCCCGCCTCCCGCTCTCCCCCCTCCAGCACCCTTCCCTAGTACCATGTCCCCTGCTTCCATCACCATAGCTGGGGCCACATTAGTGAGGTGGGGGGGGGGAATGGAGGAGTTATTGCATCTCACTTGTGTGGCTCCAACTGACTTTTCCGTGGGTCAGTGACCCTGATTCAAAACAGGTTCCATGCCCTTCTCATAAATAAAGTCAGTGCAGAAACTTTTTGTGTTTGACATAGTATTTCATATTTTTAAATGAAATACTATTTTTATTATTTAAAAATGAAATACTGGCCGTCAAGCCCCCATCTGACTGCAGCATCATAACACTCCTGCACCGCCCCCCATCCCCAGACTGTAGATCCGAGCCTATCATACACTGGAACCCCTTGCTCTGAGCCCCTGACATATCCCAACTCAAATTCCTGCACCTTCACATCCACAAGACTGTAGCTTACTTAGTACCCCAACCCTCTGTCTGACCCCAACAGTCCACAACCTGGAGCCCCCTCCCCGAGCCAGCGTCCCCTTCTCCACCTCCTCCTGCATTCAAATGTCCTCCCAGAGCTTACACCACTCACCCCTTCCCACACCAAAATCCCTCATTCCCACCCCAGAGTCCACATCCTGTCTCAACCCATTGAGGGTACAGCTAGACTGCAGAAGTTTTTCCAGCATTCCAGAGATATCTCGGAAAAACTCTAGCGTGTCCAGAGACACGTTTGTTCTTCCGTTTTTTTTTGTTTTTGTTTGTTTGTTTTTTTAAGTGGAAGGGCTAACATGCTCTTTCGGTAACTCCTGTATTTCTTGTCCAACAATGAATAAGGGGGCTTCTGAAAGAAGGGTTTTTTCTGACATTTGGTCCAGTCTAGACAGGCCAAATGTTGGAAAAACCTCTTCTTACAGAAGAATTGGGAAAAAAAGCAGCATTGTAGAGTGTATAAGGGCTGGGGATAGCAAGTGATGGAGAGGAGGAGACTAGAGAGGGCGGGGCTTCAAGGAAGGGGGTGGGGTCTTGGAAGGATGGGGGCAGTAGATCTTGGCTTGTTCTGACATTTAAAAAGTGATCTTGGGTATAAAAAGGTTGGAGACCACCACCCTAGTTTGGTCATGATGTCTAATATTATCGCACCTGGGCAACCTACAGTTGTTTTAAAATAATATCGTTTGTATTTGATGGTCATACCCCAGTAGTAAAGCCTACCAGGGTTGTACCTTTGGATACCAAACTTTGAATTTTCATGGGATGAAGAAATTTTGGACAAGAAAGCTGTTTGATGAGGTTGCCCTGCCACTTATCTCTGAGTTCAGTGTATGGATCAGAGTGGAAATGCCTCTATCCGTCTTGCCTGGACTCTAGTAATTGGACCCAAGAACTTTGATGGCTTTATAGATTTAGCTTAAGTACTTGCACCCAACTTACGTGGTGTAATAAGAAAAAGCTAGAAGTTTGCTTCTGATCTTTCTTGGAATTTTTCTCTTCCTTTTTGGTCCAGAATAATTTGACAAAATAAATATAATTAATCGTGTTGTTTTAGCCATTGACTTCAAGCCATCCCACTGGCTAGGTGGGCAGGCGTGCGTACCTCCTCAAACTTAGCTAGCTTCCTTCCTCTAAGGAGAAGGAAAAACTGAGAGAGCAATCCTCTCCCTGGTTTGGATAGTCTGACACCTTTGTAGCATGGTTAGACCTGTTAGGGTATACGCCCCACTACCATAGCTGTCAGACGGCCAGGGTCACCGCTACACCACAATGAGGCATTGAGGTAGGATTTCGCAGCTGCAAAATCCTATGAAATGAGCAGAGAACGCAGCGGTGTGAAAGATATCATTGTGGAAAGCAGACATAACCAAATGCGATGGGCAGGCCACACAGCATGGCTCACGGACAATAGGTGGACCTCAATTATTGCGGAGTGGTACCCATGAGAACAGAAAAGACCTCCCGGTTGGCCTCTAAGAAGATGGGAAGATGACATTGTTAAACGTTTTGGACGAATGTGGAGAAGAAAGGCAAGAATGCGAGAAGACTAGTGGATGTGTTGTGATCTGCCCAATCTTAACGATAGCTGAAGACCGACCGATCCAGGTGGTGAAATATAATTAAGCTGATTTTGAGTACCTCACTAGGTGTAACTCCCACTGCATTGGGAACCAATTAGGGTTGTAAAATCCCATTATGTTATGATTAACCAGTTAACTGCTTAAATGGGAATGGGGAGTGAGCTGCTCCTGGCTGGGCTGGGCTGGGCTGGCAGACTGATGGGCTGCTCTGGATGTAGGAGGGGTAACCATGACCAGTAAGCATCAGCCGGTAAGGTTAACTGATTTAACCATTCATTTCCCTAGAACCAGTAGCTCAGTTTAGGGTGCTTGTCCATGTATATTCCGCTGATGGAGTACGTGTGTGCTGTGCCTTCTAGTTCAGATTCTTTTGGCCAATACTGTCTATTGCAGTGTTTCTTAAACTTTTTGAGACCACAGAACATGAAACAATAATATTTTTTTTATGCAGCACACCTATGAACATTTTCGTAAAAAAAATAATCAGACAAAAAAAAGACAAAGAAGAGGTCGTGGCACACTTGCGAGTGGTTCACGGAACATAGTTTAAGAAACACTGGTCTATTGGTGATTTTGCGCCTGCAACTAAGGACAAATAGCCTGAGGCAACCCAACACTCCCTAGGTCCTTGTCGCTAACCCCTAACTCTGAGTTGAAACCCTGCAGTGTCTAAGCTCTTGTTCACTTACTGATCTAATATTTTTAAGACGTGGGGAAAAACAGTTGTTCCCTGCTTTCTCCCTTCCTGAGGGACCCCCTCCCCCAAACCTTTAGTTATTGCTTGACATTTTTATTTAAGAATGAAAATCTTACATATACATATACGACTTAGTTAACGGTACTTTCCATGTGCTAGGTATATTTATGAAGTAAATATCAGTTCTTTCTTTCTGAATAATGATGGTTAAACACTGCAATAAATTGCTTAGGGAGTCTGTGGAATCTCCATCGCTGGAGATACTTAAGAGTTGGTTAGACAGATGTATCCGGGATATGGCCTATGCTTGGTCCGGCCATGAGAGCAGGGGACTGGACGTGATGGTCTGTCGAGGTCCCTTCCAGTTCTAGTGTTCTGAGATTCCGTGACTGCCAAATATATGCAGTATTAGAGAGAGAGAGCCTCACGCCAAGGTACCTAAGTGGGGTTTTTTGTTTTCATATATCTCAAACTAGGGGGAAAAGCTTAGTGCTGAAAATAGACAGCATCAGTACTGGTGACTTGTAAACCAAGAGGAAATGCTATAGCAATATAAATAGAGATGTGATAATATACATACATAAAGGACTAGTATTTCTAGAGAAGAAACTCAGAAAAGAAATATCCCTATACATAGGGTGACCATATTTCTCTATGCTGAGTTTGGGACACTTGGTAAAATTACTCTTATTCAAGTGAGTTCAACAGCAATCGATACAAATATTCAAATTAACGTTGTTGACTGAGACCCTGTTAAAAAGAAATACTGCAGAGTTGGATCCTTTTTATTTACCGTATCTTTAAGGTTTTAGTGCTCACATGGGGAGGGATGACACTCCCCCTACCTTCCCACACACGTGGGGAGTGGTGAAACGTGAACTCCTGTATACCTCCCACATGTGGAGGTGGGGTGGCGATCAAGAGTCCCCATCTGTGCTCTCCACCCTCCATGCCTGGGTGGACCCTCTCAGCGTGTATTTGACTCTTCTGATACCTGGCAACTGAAGGGAACTTGTAGAATAATAATAGAACTAAACGGAACCTTGAAGTCATAAAGTTCAGTTCGCTGCACTCATGGCAGGAGCAAGCACTGTCTATACCAGGGGTCTCAAAGTACCGGCCCGCAAGCCAGTCCCTGCTGGTGCGATTGCACAGTTTTGTCTGGGACTCCCGGAGGGCCAGTGGGGGCCTGATTGTTACTAGCTCCCAAGCTCCACCCCTTCTGCTATAGCCTAACCCTCTCCCCATGGCATCTGTTCCCCAAGCATGCAGCTTTGTGGATCACTGGGGAGCCCTGGTACCATGAGGCAGCAGTGATTGTGGCTCCCCACATGTTCCCCGCAGCGGCAGAAGCCATGGGGGAAGCAGAGTGTAGCACAGTGGTTCCCAATGTGGTGCCCGTGGGCACCATGGAACCCATCAGGGCATTTATGTGTGCCTGCCTAGTGCCGCCTCCGGGCACACTAGCAGCCCCCACCACCCAAAAAGGTTGGGGACCACTGGTGTAGCAGATTGCACATTCACTCTGACTAGGACTCACCTGAGAGCTGGGAGTTTGAGTCCCCCTGATCTAGACATCCCTGACAGGTATATGTCCAACCTCCTCTTAAAAATTTCTAGTGATGGAGATTCCACAATCTCCATAAGCAATTTATTTCCGTGCTTAACCACCTAGGCAGTGA